GGATGGATGGATGGATGGATGGGTAAGTGGATGGGTGGGTGGGTGAGTGGATGTTTGTTTTCAGCTTCAGCTACTGGGTACCTCAATATTTTCCAAATTCATCAGGTATGTGTGTGTGTGTGTGTGTACCAAAGGACCTTCCTCACCTCTTTAAAAGAAACCTAGGGATAACACCTTGCATCATCGATGTTAGAATCTACTGGATATTCCCCAATATGTATTCTGCTATTCTTCCTTAGTAATAGAACCCCTAAATTCTAGCTTAGCTGAAGCTGCCTGGAATGATATTTTCCATTCTTCCTTGCAGACAGATAGGAGAACATGACTGAACTCTGTGTTACACGAATCTCATGCAACTTTTTCAAAGAGCCCTTACAGGAAGGAAACATGGCAGCTATCTACCCTTCTTCCCCTCTGTCAGACCTCAAATCGTGACAGCTGGACCTCAGGCAGCTGTGTTTATTCATGAACAGAAAGCTCCATATTGAAAACATCAGAACAGCAAGCTACAGTGTGGTCTTCTGACTACTTTGGGACCTGCTCTGTAAGTTTCGAATGTCCCATCTCTGTAATCTAACCAATCATAGTGAATATGGGCATCTTGCTGGGCCATAATGTGGGAAATACAAAAAAATCTGCTGTAAAATTGAGTTGTATTGCATTGAACTAAATTGAGTTGAATTGAACTTACACTGGGAAGAATTAAGCCACATCCTCTTAGATAATAGACTCTTGCTGAAACTCACGGCAAGGGTATTTGAAGCAGATAGCATGAAGCTGATTAGAGTCAGCCACACATCTCTTCACTCCTCACTGCAGGCAGCCCTACCTGATCTTTGTTGTGTCCTTAACCTTTGGGAAGAAAACCATCACTATGACTATTGCTGCAAGAAGCCTAGATACAGTCCCATTGTGGAAGCTCAGATCACCCAGCAACCTCCCTTGCAGAGAGTCCTCACGTAGGCTGAGAGGTCTCACTCTCAGTCTGTATCTATGAAGCATCTTGATTCAAATCATCCAGGGCTCCATTTCCATCTCCATTTAGAACACGTTGACTGTGGTCATTTTTCTGATAATGTCTGGAAATTTCATGGCTTCTTAAGCAAGACAAGGAAGAATGGTTGGATTTACTGCGGGTGAAATGCTAGCAGAAGCAACTTCAATTTAGCAACTGTTATCATGGGCGACTAATCGAGGACTCTTCGGAAGAATGATGCCACTGAAAACAGTTAGTACTCAATGTTAATAAAAAAAATTATGGATCTAATAAAAGTTAATGGGGACGTATCATGTGCCATAAAAGCTGCAGTCAAAGCAAAGAATGCTGGGGTGGTGGGGAGAAGATTCCACTATGATTCTGTATGTGTTGTCTAGGAGCCAAAATTGCCCATGCCACAATGCTCCTGAGGTTCAAATGGTTATGCAAACCAAATGAAACTGTAGAATACTTAGGAATAGGATCAGCTCCTTTTGTTTAAAAAAAAAAAGAAAGAAAAGAAAAGGAAAGAAAAGAAAAGAAAAGAAAAGAAAAGAAAAGAAAAGAAAAGAAAAGAAAAGAAAAGAAAAGAAAAGAAAAGGACCAAGTGAGGTATTCCCAAGAAAATTCAATTATTTAGCAACCAGTAAGGCCCCGCCCCATGGTTGGCTATTCTTTGTGGATATGAGTCCTTCTCCCAGAAGGACTCCATACACATTTCCCAGGTAGGTCAAGAGCTGACATCTGGAGTGGAAAAATGGCTTAGCAGATAAAAGTATTCCTGTTCTTGAAGAGGATCTAGGTTCAATTACCACCATTTACAATAGGTGACTTACAACTGTCTGTCCAATTCCAGGGGATCTGAAGCCCTCTTCTGGCCTCTAAGGGCACCAGGCATGCACTGGGGCATGTACATACATTCAGGCACTCACATATACACAATAAATAAGTAAATAAATAATTAAATATTTTTTAGAGAAAGAGAAAGAGCTGACATCCTCCAGTGGGGCACGGTCACATGTCCAGACTGGGTGTCTCTTCCAGGGTCTCAGAATTCCAGCTTCATGGGCTATCCATGATACCTGTATAGTTACTTTCCTTGTTGCTGTGATGAAACACTTTAAAAGCATCTTAAGGGAGGAAGGGTTTATTATGGCTTAGAGTTCACAGGGATACAGTCCATAATGCATGAGAAGACAAGTGCCTTTATAGTGGTGAGAACATGTGGCTGGACTCCTCATATGTCCAAGAATCAGGAAACAGACTGAACAGGAAGTGGGCACTAGTACTGTAAATTACTATAAGTAACACAGAGCGTGTCCCCTCCCCCAGTGACCCATTTCCTCCAGTTAAACCCTACCACCTAAGATTTCCACAATCTCTCAATTTTCAGTGCCACTAGCTGGTGGCCAAATGTTCAGACACATGATCGTGTAGGGGACATTTCACATGTACCCATAACAATGCCAGGTGAAAGATGGTAAGTCAGAAAGTTCCGATCGTTTCCCATCCCTTCTAGTCAGGCCACAGTCATCCTCCACCTAGACCTCCCTATGAGCCCCCAGTTGATCAGCCAACACCCCACCTTTTCCCCCACTATCTAGATCCTTTCCCCACAGAACAGCTAGAGTGATCTTTTCCATTTACATATGCAATTTTGTCATGCTTGTGTTTTTAAAATTCCTTCAAAGACTTCCCTTGACCTCTCAGAATAAAAAAAAAAAAATTATAAAGGCTCAAAAGCTTTCCCATAGCTTGGAAAGCCCCATCTCTCAGGAGACCCTCCTGCCTCACCCAGACACCCAGTCATATGGATATACCATGCTCTGGAGAGGGTACACTGGCTCCCCCCACAATCCCATCCTCATCCTTAATTTCAGTTTTTTCTGAAGGACTTCCAAGGAAGGGTTGCTCCTGTTGATGCAGTCTCAGAAGGCAATTTCTGCTTGCTGCCTTCTCAAAATTTAGTCTATTATTGTATGTCCAATATCTCTCTTCCCCACTAGATTTCAGATTAATCACTGATAGGCTCTATGTCCATCCATTTCACCACTGTCCCCAGCACTTATGACAGTGTGTGGTAATTATAAGCACTCAGATCCTTGTTAATTGCTTAAAGAAATAAGCAAATAAATAGACTAGTCCCTAAAACCCAGGAGCACTAATTAATTATATGGTTATATTGTTGTTTATAACAGTGTGTAAAATTGAGACTCAGAAACGAGTCTTATATGATGCAAAACCCAATTCAGGAAGGCACAGCATCCAAAGAGCTCTTCCGAAGTTCCTGCCTAGTCATGGAGAAACAGGACCCCTATTTAGCAGCCTTGAACTACTTTCCAAGGTCAAAGGTGAATCTTGACAGGAAGCCTATTTTTAACCTATAATAGAGCCCTCAAGAAATAAGAGTTGGGGAAGCTTCATTGTGGAATCCTTGAAGATTGTTTCAGGTAACAATCACCAATAGGATTGAAATTGACCATGTGGGGAAATGTTGGCTTGTGTGGACTTACACTGTCAATTAGAGACATAGAATAAAATAATAACTATACCTAAGAGAGATTGAAAAACACTCTTCACAGTTAATCAAAAGTAAAAGATAGCAAATTGACATTATGTGGCTCTAGAAATAATACCCTAGGAAGGACACAATGTCACCAATGTAGTATTCTGGCCTGGAATGCATATGCCAAACCCATGACAAAAAAGCTGAAGGGAAACTCAACAGGCAAAGCTGAAGTGGGGTCCAGATTAAAGGAGAAACAAGATAATAAAATATAACAAATGCACACATATATATAAATAATAAAATACAATATCTCAATGTATATTCTAGGCTATGTTATTCTAGATTAGATCTTTCACTAGAAGGAAAAAACTGAAAAAAATATCATAATGTTAACTGACAAAATATGAAAACACTAAGTGAATTAAATAATAATACTATTTCAAAATTAAATTTTAAGTTGATCGATGTCCTGTGAGTCTATTTTTAAAAAGATGGAAAGGACACCTTTATTAGGGGGAAATAGACATTGAAATATTGTCGGGTTAAGGCTCATCATGTATCCAACTCATTTCATATGGTTAAGAAAAATATTATGGTGAGAGAAAGGACAGGAACAAAGCAAATTGATTAACTGATAAAAATAGAAAATGTGGGTATATTTTGTGTGTGATCCTTGCTATAAGTTTTCTATAAATTTGAAATTACTTCCTAATTTCAAAAGCTCTCCAAGGCCCTTCAAGCTTTAACGAGCCATCCTCTTCAAGATAATCACCTGCTGAACAGCATTCCAGCTCTCTTCATATCCATTATTGGTATCGGAAGTTGGAGGATCACAGCCTATGTCCCAAGCTAGGTTTGGCCACCCATTCTCAACAGCCTAATCAAAAGAGCCAAATTAATAGTGGAAACTAGCAAAAGGAAATGTATTCAATGTGGCCGAGGTACAGGGAAATCCAACGACTCCCTCAAGTGTCTTCTTTAGGGTCCTGAACTGAGATTAAGGTTTAAACAAATAACCAAGATTATGTACATGTAAGCAACCCTGGTCAAGGTGTGGTCCTCCTCACCACTGATCCATCATTGTCTGGACTTCATTATGATCCTGTTAGCTCCTCTAACAAGGTGTTACCTGTGTGAAATCTCTTTAATGGAGACAAATTACCCCTCTATCCTGGAGCCCTTTCCTTCTCCCAACATGTGATTCCTGGGGAATTTCCTATTTCTTCAGGGTCCATTGTTTTAACAGTCTGATAGTGAGAGTTGGAGACACATGCGTCTCTTTAGAATACCTTCATTCCTGCCAGGCCAGTTACATTATGAGGCACCAGAACCTTTCCTCTAACTTATGATAGCCATGCAGGCATGACAAAGACGGGGTGAACCTGTACTCAGACATACACAGCTGCCATGTCTGCCCCTCAGAACTCTAAAGGGTCTCCAGAATCCACCTAAGGAATCTTAAAATGCAAAGCACCACCACAGAGCAGCAAGGCTGCCTTGAACTGTCTGGTTGCCTAGCAACCCAGGCTCCTACTTGACAACATGAAAAGAAGCCTTCCCTCTGGATCCCTGCCTTGCTCCACTCTGGAGGGAAAGACTCTATTGGTCAAGTTCCAGGTGAAGCTCCGGCTGAAGCTGAGTTAGGTACTGAGCAACAGAAACGATCCATGACTCTGGGGTCATAAGCCAAGTACAAAGCCCAGGGATCTGGGGATTCAGCCTGGTAAAATCTCAAGTGAACAGAGTCTGAATCAAGCTTCTTTAAATGCTGTGAGCCTGCTTCCTCACAGTAGATGGGTGGGTGCGTCTCAAACTCATCTGGATTTCAGAACAGCCAGGTAACCTTGGAACCGGCCCCATGTCACTCACTACCGATGAGATTTGAATCCCTGTGGAAATGCTCAGACACCTGCACTTTTGGAATCTTCTTCAGATGATTCAAATATGCAGAGCTGGAAATCAAAGAATAAAATGGTCTGTGCTATAGTGTGAATGTGTCCCATCCAAAATTTAGGTTTTGCCAATGTGAAAATACTGAAATAGGATCATTAAGAAGTGCCAAGAGCAAGGCTGGGGAAATATCTCAGTGGGCAAAGTGCTCACCGCCCAAGTGTGACGTCTGTAGTTCAGATCCTCAAGCACAAACATCAAAGCTTGTCTGTGATCCTGGCACACAGCAGGTGGAGACAGGAGATCCCCAAAGCAAGCTGGCTATCTAGAATAACTGACTCAGCAAGCTCTGGGTTCAAGTGTAAGATGTTGCCTCAATATATAAGGTAGAAGAGAATTGAGGAAGGCACCCCATGTCAAACTCTGGCTTGCACACACATCATGAAAACACGTGTATATGCACGCACACACTAGCACACCAATTTAAGAAAGAGGTGACTTGGCCTGAGGGTTTCTTCTTCATGGATGGAACTAGGTGGACTTTTAAAAGTGACTTGACCTGGGAGTGTCCTAGTTTGCTTTCTGTTGGGATAAAACACCATGACTAAAATCAACTTGAGGAATGAAGGGTTCAGTTTGCTTACGGGTCCCAATTGCAATCCATTATTGAGGAAAGCCAAGGCAGGAACCTGGAGGTTGGAAGTGAAACAGAAGCCATGAAGGAACACTGCCTACTGACTTGCTCCTCATGGCTTACTCAGCCTGCTTCTTTATTCAACACAGGCCCATTGCCTCCGAGTGGCACCACCCATAGTGGGCTAGGTACTTCCACATCAGTCGTCAATCAAGACAATGCTCCCAAAGACTTGCCTTTGGAGCAGTCTGACGGAAGCATTTTTTCAATTTAGCTTCCCTCTTCTCAAATGAGTTGAACTTGTATCAAGTTCACAAAAACCGAAGCTGCACAGGGGGTTCCACTCTCCTTGTTTTTCTGCCTTCCACTATGTTTAAACACAGCATTCTCCACAGCTGAACCTTACAGTGCCTTAATCTTGGACTTTCTAGCCCAGTGGTTCCTAACCTGTGTGTCATGACCCCTTTGGATGATGAAGGACCCTTTTACAGGGATCACCTAAGACCATCAGATAACACAGATATATACATTATGATTCATAGCAGTAGCAAAATTACAGTTATGAAATAGCAATGAAAACAATTTTTTGGTTGGGGGTGGTCACCACAACATGAGAAACTGCATTAAAGGTTTGCAGAATTAGGAAGGTTGAGAACCACTCTTCTAGCCTCTAGAATTATAAGAAAATTAATTTCTATGTTCTACAAATAATCAAATCTTTGATTTTCTGTAATGGCACCACAAATAAACAAAGACAACCTATGAAGGTCCCATGTGCCTCTTTTTAGAGTTAATCATTTAGTTGAATTTGGTGCCTATAAAGGCAGCTTGGATCCTCATTTCTTCTTCCTATTTCCTCCACACGGAACCCTTAACCCTACACTTAAGAGTCAGCTCTCCCCCGTTCCTTGGAGAAGTCCAACAGAACTCAGGCCCCTTGCTTCAGACTCAGTTATCTTTCCCTGTTAGTCCAGACCCATATTTCTTAAGGTTGAAGCCTACCATGAGCCTGTCAAGAACTGTGAAGGTCACAAGTCAACCTGCCACAGATGTTTAAAAGCTGATGAAAGAGATGAGATCCCAGGTCGAAGACCAGAGATGGTTTATTACTTCAAGCAGCTGCAGTAGCCAGTTCTACTTACTTTTACTATTCTCCCAAGTCTCAACGTCTACTGAACAAGGTGAAGGTTGCAAGAAGTCATAAGAATACAAGGTGGGTTATTGTCTAGGACAGGAGCCCAGAGTTTAGGAAACCCAAATATTTCATATAGGTTTCTAAGTATAACTGTCATTTGCTGCAGAAAGAGATGCAATCCATATTATTTGAGGATATTCACTACACAAACAACTTGAGAAGACAGTCAAGAATGAAGAGAAGTCAGCCTTCCACCAGCCAGAAATATGAAAGACCCACAGAGAAGTATCTCCCATTAGCATCCAGCCCTAACATTCTTTGCTGAAGCCCATGACTTGTTCATAGTATCAGAGCCTTTGTGGGTACACTTCTGAATTCCCTCAAAACTAATGTTCTATCTGAATCCCAGTTCTGTATCTGGGATCTACTTCCTTAATGGCCAACCTCTTATAAACACTCCTTGAATACCAACAATTGCTGTTGGTGCCCATATTATCTTTAAAAAAAAAAATGTGACCCATGGTCATACTTCTTTGGTGTAGGACATGAAAATGGGGCAAAGCTGGCCTGAGGCTACAAGCAAGGAGCTGGAGAAACACCCAGAAGAAAGAGGAGACACCATCCCTGAGCAGGTGGCCCTGGGCTGTAAAAGAAAGCCAACTGAGTATGAACTTGACAGTGAGCCAGCAAGTGGCATTCCTCTATGGTTTCTATTTCAGTTCCTGCCCTGACTTCCCTCAGTGATGGACTGAGACAATACGTTGGGTTTTACTTACATCACCTGCCTGTTATCCCTGATGCCATGCCTCCTGGTTAAATATGTCTGCCACTGGCTCTACTCCAAGGTCTTTATCCTGCCTCACAGGCAGATCTAGATGGAGATTTTGGTCTCCCTAGCCTGTCTGGTTTGACAACTCAGCCATGCTAGTCTCTGCCTACCTCACCATATTCATACATAACTTCTAAGTTAGTTCTCCTTTGCCCCGTTTACTAACGAGGCCAGTGCCCTTCAAGGCTGCATGTCTGAGTTACTTTACGGATGTTTCCAATTCCGTTTGGCCAGTGAGAAACACTAGGAGGAGTTCTAGGTGTTTCTTTATTGCTGTGTTAGTTTCTTTTCTTCCTGCTGTGACTAGCCACCCGACAAGTAGTAACTAAGAGAAAGGGGGTTTGTTCTACTTCCTGGTTGGAGGTAATTAAGCACATCCTGGTGGAAAGCTGGTTGGCAGGAAGTTAAGGCAACCAGGCACTGTGTCAACAGTCAGGAAGCTGAGAGATGTGGATGCTGACGTTCTTCTTGCTTTTTCCTCTTTAGTCCGGACCACAGGGTGTGTCTGACCACTCAATTCATCTAATCTAGAAACTTTCACAGGCATGATGAGAAGTTTGTCTCCTAGGTGATCCTAGGTGCTGCCATGCTGTTGACAAGTCACATTAACCATCACACACGCCTCTCCCCCACCCCAGAGTTGTGTCTCTTGCAATACAACCGTGTGTCACCTAAACACAAGAATATGTCCGAGATATGTGTAGAATGGACTCATGCAAATTGGATGGTATAGCCTAAGACGCACTTAGACTAAATGGCATCATTGTTATCATAGAGGTGGCTGGCTGTTGATTCAACCACTGTCCAAGGGACCCCTGCTCTGTGATTCCAGGTTTATAACTGGAAAATCATTTCTGTAAATCTCTCTCCACCCCCCCTTCGGGGTGGTAGTGGCTTCCTGTTGTTCTTATTTCCAGAGGCATCACTGTCCTTAATTCATTCCATTGGTCCAGTTGAGAAAAAGCTCACTGCACCTTCTGGCACATCCTCCCTGAGCTCCACCCACCCCGCAGAGTTAAGTAGGGACGGCAGTAAAGATCAGCCACGGATCTCATCAGTTGTGCACTGAATGCTGTTTTCCCTAGGAAGCTTCCCTGAGGAGGACACAGGCCTTTCTGATGGAGCTAAACAATAAGAGAGAACGGCTGCCCCTGAGAGCAAATGTGATCCTGAGGCCCAAGTCTAGTCAGGAGATTGGTACAGCAGCCCTCCAGAGTCTGGTGATGTTGCCATGGTAGCAGAAGGGTCACTGCTTAGCAACAGGCCAGAGCTGCAGGAAGCTGCTAAGGTATTTTCACATGTGCTAAAGCAAATGGATGTTTATCACAGTCTTGAGTATGGGGGGAGAATAGAAAACATACACACACAGGCCACCCAGAGATGTGCAGGGCTGCATCTCCTGACACTTGAGGACTGGAGAAGATGCCTTTTCTCTGGAGGAGGCTGTAGAAGACCCAATGAAGCACATCCTTTCATCCTCCCTAAAACAGTTGACTTCCCATTGACCCTGCCATAAAAGCCTCACCATCACTTAATTATCAATAGGGTCTCCAAACCTTTCTCCTAAATGGTTTTTTTGAGAGGCTTAGTGGCACGGTAATTAAATGCATATAGCTTAAAGCTAGTACTTTGGAGGTCCAACATACAGCTTGGCCCCTTCCTTGCCATGTTATTTTGTACACATCACTTTACTTTTCTGTGTCTCAATTTCCTACCACACCTTGCAATATTTGTATGAGAATTAAATAAGTTATTACATGGCAAGCACGTAGGTGCAGTGCATATAATGAATGATCTATTCATAATGTTCCTAGTAGTCAACAAAATTATGGAAATTTCCCAATGTGCTTGGCCCTATAAAAGAAATGAAGGAAATAAAAGTTAGCAAAAGCTAGACCATATCTATTTAATTTCCAGAGCAGCAAAGAAAAAGCCATAAGTCCTTGGTTGGGTCAGTCGAGGTACCCCAAATCTGTCTCCAGAATGACTTGCCTACTTAGGGGTAATTTTGAGGATTAAATAAAGCATGTAGAAATGCAGCATGGTGTCTGGCCCACACTAACTATTCCCTAAAGGCTCCCTCCCACTAAAAAAAAAAAGTGCTATTCTTATTATTCCTTCCAGAAATCAACTCTACATGGGTCTGTGTTCCAGCCCTGAACACACCCATGCACCGTACTCAATTCACATATATCTAAGTCTTCTTCACCCTGTCTGGACCACCTGCAATACTTCCTCTACCTTTTCACCAGTCTCATATCTGTATAATCTTCAAAACAATGACCAGCCGACCAGTCCCTGGAAGTCCCCTAACTAATCCAGGCCATGGTCATCCCTCCACCTTGAATTCCTCCAGGGTTTCTGTTGTGTCCACTGCCTTGCTTGCCCCATGCTTATAGGGTATTTGTATTTTCATTTCTGAATCACACTGGAAGTCCTCCTTTGTAGATGCTTCTTAAGCATCTTTCTGTATCTTCTGGGTCTCACTGTCCTGCCTCTGCTGTCACTCACCATGACCAGTTCTCATGGACTCTCACTACCAGCCACCTATTTACAATGTACTCTCCTAGAAGCCTCTTACCTCAGAAAAAAAAAAAAAACACAGTGGATGAAAGCCCATGGGATTCACTGGTCCTGTAATGATCCCCCATGGAATCAGAGTCAGCAATCCGAAAGAACGACAAGACACACAAACACACCAGTTTCGTGAGTACCCGGAAGGCTTGTCCTCTGAGCCAACATTGCTTATGTTGATGGTGGACAGAAGAGGAGTTGCCATGTTGTTAGACGGTGAGAAAAAGGATTACTTCTAGAACTCAGTAGGGTCCATCTAAGTGCTCAAAGCCCAGCAAAAATTATAAAGGACAATTGCAGAAACCACAAGGATATGGCAATTGGGGATGAACTGATCTATTTCTTGGCTACCTGTGATGATAAGTGCTAATTGTCAAAACTGTAGTCTGAAATCATCTAGTAAACAAGCCTGTGGGCACACCTGTGAGGGATTATCTAACCTCTGCACGTGTTTATGAGGGGCTGTGTTGAAGGGGTTCATTGAGGGGGGAAGACTCATTCTAAAAGTGGGCAGCACCATTCCCTGGGCTGGGACGCTGAGCACCATTATTCTTTGCTCTGCTTCCTGACAATGGATACTATGTGACCAACTGCTTCATCAAGCCTTGACTTCTCTACTGTAATGGACTATACCTTTGAACTGTGAACTGAAGTAAGCCCTTACTCCCTTGAGGTGCTGTTCTCAGTGTATTTTATCACAGCAATGGGAAAAAAAAAAACCTAATACACCATCCAATGTCCCTATGGACATCCCTGGAAAGCTTGCCAGAAAAGCAGGATCTTGGTCCTTTCTGCAGATCACTGAATCACACTGGGTACTAAGTCAGCCACCTGGTTTGGCTTAAAGTGAGAGAAATCCATAATGAGTAATGGGGTTGGGGAAGGAGGTGAACATTAGTTATGGCCACACTCCAGTGCAGGATGGGAAATGTAGCTTCCTTCACTTACTCTGATTCCAGAAAGAACAGCTGCTTGTCTTGGTGGAGAATTGATGGTTGAATGGTGGTAGAAATCAGAAATGATGCAGGTGCTCTGGAAAACAGACTAACAGTTTCACCAAATGGTAAACATAGAATTGCCACTTCTAGATATCTATGCAGGAGAAATGAAAACAAACTTCTACATGACTGGTTATAGTAGCTTTTTCCATAATAACTCAAAGATAGAAACATCCATCAAGTGATGGATAAAAACCTGCACCAGGCCACAGAGCATCTTCTTCAGAGCAAATGGAAATTACAAAGGATCCTTGACTTTCCTTCAAGGGGAAGAGGGTGATAGAGAAATGGACAGAAGTCAGAGATGAGCAAAGAAGCTCTGGATATTGAGTCATAGGGAAGAGGTTCTGCTGGAAGATAAGAACATTCTTCCTCTGTTTCCACAGAGTCCAGATGGGAAGTCATCCAAGATCCCAGATGAGCATCCTAATGGAAACATGGACTAGAAGACCCCTTCACTGAGCAAGAAAGGCACAAGTTGGGTGAGAAAAGAGGGAACATTCAACCCAAAAGTATGCATCATTACTGACATCAGAGATGGTATAAACAACAGTCATGTGTTCTGTGCCAGGAACATCTGTTATTTCAGTTGCTGAGGACCTGACCCACTACAGACACTCAACAAGTATTTAATGAATCTCATTGCAGAGTTAAACTGTGGAGCTACATAATCTAAGAAAACCTGAGCTCAGCACAGCTCGCCATCCAAAACAATAATTTTCATATAATGAGTGTTCAGTGTTTGGCAAAGGATGGATGGCTGAATGAGTAGGCTGGAGTCAGGCCACTGCATACAGGTGAAACACATCAGAGTGAGGAAAATGAATTACCAAGTACAGTTCCTGAGTTGGGGGAAAGAAGGCAACTGACCGTGTTTTGGTTCCTAAAATGTCTTTCTCAGCCACTGTCACAGCCACCAATGAAATTAGGCATCCAAAATTTGATCCTGGGCCTTAAAGTATCCACAAATTGTTGATTGGTAGCTTGGTAAACGACAATGTAGAATTTTCTAGGTAAAAGAATTCTCAGAGATGCCTGAACTATTGAGGAAAAAGAAGCCCTGAAGAACTGTCATTTTGTGGGAGTGTGACAAGTGGCTGGGTAATTTCCCAAGGATGAGCTGAGCCAGGCGGTGAGCTTACGCCTCAATAGCGGTACCTCTAATATCAAAAGTTTAGCAAATTGACACTGTGTCTGTCACACATTATTTGAATTGATTGCTGGTTATAGATAATGCACTCCTCTCTAAAAGGAGAGAGAGAGAGAGAGAGAGAGAGAGAGAGAGAGAGAGAGAGAGAGAGAGAGAGAGAGAATATGGATATATGACCATGGTTTTGCTCAAATATCAAGGAGAATAGGAATCTTCCCCAAATGCCCTGAGCAAAAATGTGCGTATTTCACTGGTGACCCATGATGAAGGGCCGGGACCACCCCAGGAGGAACATTCCCAGGTCTGAACTTCAGAAAGCCATTCACCTACAGCAAGCACCAGGATGATAAGAGCGTAACTGCCCCCCACGGAAAACTGTGCCCTTGGGCACAAGCAATGGAGCGAACTAATTTCTAATAATGAGGCTGTGAGCTACAGGGCTTGTCTACAAAACAGGCTTATTCATGAAGAGTAAATATGTCAACTAACTCAAGACGCATGCTAAATCTCCATTGTTTTCTGAAGTTCAGGTTTCCTGGCTCTATAAAATGTGATGCATGCTTCCAATGTGTGTTGCAGAATCTGGGAGATTGCAGAATGCCACATTAAACTCGGAGCTTCTGGGCTAATGAGGGTAAGTCCATTTTGCAGTAATGAATTGTTGGTAATAGCCCATCATGGAACAGATGTCTCATCCATCATTGCACTGGGAGTCCAACACTCCCACAGCACAGGGAAGCCACACAGCCCAAGGAGGCCATCCTCATCTCTGGGCTCCTGAAGGGAGGGGAGCCAACCTCAGGAAATGGTATGAGTGGGTGTGATTTGAGGCTCCCAAATCCACCATAACTCAAAATATGTCCCCACCCATCTGCCGCAGCAGTTAAAATACCCTCCTTTGACTTGTCTCCTATTAAAATGTAAATATGTCACCTGGAAGAAGTAACACATCACATTAGCATCGATTATCACCCAGTTTCACATTACAAGGTGCTGGGCCCTGAGGGGATGGGAAATAGCAGGTAGTCATTGCTCAAGGGTGGCTTTCAGAAGGGTTTAGCAAGTCAAAGTTTGATGGGGTAAAGCTAAGGCAGGTCACACAGTAGGCCTGTATGTAAAGCAATGCTCACCTATCCTACTAAAAATATCCTGAGGGGGTGGTGGTGGTGGTGTGTTTGTGTAAAATGCCCATGCACATAAAGATATGTGAACACTTGTATGCATGTAGAGTACATAGGTTGATGTTCAGTGTCTTCCTTGATCATCTCCACCTCACTTTTGAGACAGGATCTCTCACTGAATATAAAGCTCACCCATTCGGCCAAACTGGAGAGTCAAAATCTCCATATATCTACCTGTCTCCAACCCCCCACCACAGTTCTAGGGTTACAGATGTGCTACCATATCCAGCTTTTAACCTGAGTGCTAGAAATCCAAACCCAGGTCTATACTTGCGTACCAAACACTTTCCTGACTGAACCATAGTCCCAGATTCTAAGGATTCTGTGTGAACTTCATGTAACTACCTAAGCAACCCCAGGGAGAAATTATACTTTATCTTTGCAAGTTCCCAGAACCTGCCACATAATCCTGAGAAAGCCCTAGTGCTCTCCTACTAAATGGTGAACACGTGTGTTTTAGTCTCACAACTCCTGAAGAACTCACAGAAGCATTTACATTTTCCAGATGCAGAAACAGATTCTAGGAGAGCACATGGGTCTGGGAGGTACAAGCTGCGGATAAGCTCTCTCTAAGAAGAACAGGACACATGGGAATACTAGAGGGAGGTAAGGGTACACTAGGATAGGACCACATTTTGGAAGTGCTTTTGAATGTCAACCTGAGAGTGCTGGGTGTTATTCTGGATCTTCTCAACAGTGAGTAGGAGGGCAGGAGGCAGAAGAACACAGAGCTATCAAGCAACATAGTGGTTTGGAAAGATGGTTAGGATCAAGGAAGATCGGATGGAGAACCAGAACATTAGAAGAAGTAAGGGTTTCCTTGTGTGATGCAGAGCCGGAGCAATAGTGGTGAAAACAGAGGTGAGGGCATGCATGTAAGAGAATTACTTAATGGGCAGCCAGTACATCTGTTTTAGTAGCTGATTGAATAAAGAGAAGCTGGGGAAGAAGAAGGAGTGAGGGACATTGATTACATTTCAAAACCACTTAACTGAAGAACAGAAAATTGGCTGCCATGGGATAGATAGATGAAAGGCAGTCTGTTGTGTGACTTTTCCTAGAGAGAAGTAATCAGATGTCAACTCACCTCAGATAGGGTACCAACAACAGACCAAAGGCAGGATTCTGCCCAAGTCCTGCTTGATGAATCCATGAGTGTATTGCAGTCATCAAAAGGAGAATGGATTTAGTTACTTTCAAGTACATGAGTGACTCAAAGGCATCTTCACCACCAAACATCCCCATCCCAACATGAGTGACGAGTACTTACCTCCCGGTACAATTTGCAGGCTACTCAATTGGTGGAAAGTCTCCTCTCACATCTGTTATGCTTAACCTTGGTGAGGAGAGCTTTGAGACTCTTGTAACTTTCCAAGCCTTGTGAACTGCATGAGACTCTCTCTTCCCCAGAGAGAACACTCAAGCTTGGAGGAAATGGCTGTACAACACAGACTTTGACTAAGGATGGTAAAGTCCACTATAAATGTGTTGTGTAGGGTGACAATGGCATACTCAAGGGAGGACATCCATGGGACAGCAAGAAATGTGGCATCAAACCTAGAAAAAAATTCAATAAAAAGCCTTGGGAATAGGCAAGCATTCTGAGAAAATGTACCAATGACTCCAAGTTGGAATCAAGCCTGTCTACACTCAAAGTACAAGTCCAGAACAGCAGGGACATTGCCAGGTCCTGCAGAAAAGTCAAGAAAAATTAGGAGAAAGGGATATTAAATTTCAAGAATATGCCATCTCTGACTCTTCCAGAGCACAGTCTCAGAAAGGTGGCAAGGACAAGAAAGTTTCAGTGGGGTAGGGGACAGTGAGGAAAAGAAGGGATAGGAGGAGAAGGCAAGGGCAGTCATGGACAATGGAGCCACATCTTGGCTGAGCCTTTTCATTTTTCCTTTCCAGTATTGAGATGGCTGAGTCTATGTTTTATGTTCAGAGACTATGTGGTGATTTAAATGAGAATGGCCCCCATAGTTTCAAATGTTTGGATGCTTAACCCCCACCTGGTGGAACTGTTTGGAAAGGATTAGGAGGTGTAGCCTTGTTGGAAAAGGTGTGTCACTTGGGGTGGGCTTTGAAGTTTCAAAAGGCCACACCAGGCCCATTTTCTCCTCCTCCTCCTCCTCCTCCTCCTCCTC